TTCTTCTCCTCCTCCCTTCTTTTCTCCTTTCCTTCCTTCCTCCTCCTCCTTCCTTCCCCTCCTCCTCCTTCCTTCCCTCCTTCCCCCCTCCCTTTTTCTCTCCCTTCTGTCCTTTTCCTCCTCCTCTTCCTTTCTTCCTCTCCTTCTTTCCTTCCCCTTCATTCTTCTCTTCTTCCTTTTTCCCTCCTTTCTCCTCCTCCTCCTCATCATCATCAGTAGTAGTAGTAGTAGTAGTAAGTAGTAGTAGTAGTAGTAACAGTAGTAGTAGTTCAGTGATAATACACATTTAAGTAACTTGAAAATGGCTTGGCTGCATTGCTCTTAATAATGTTTCCTATTACATTATTATTCTGGATTGACATCCTGTCTTTCTAAGATTGGCATTCTTTCGTGACAAACCATGATGCTAAGTTGTGATTTAACAAAGGAACGGTGTCACTTCCGTTGTACGAAGTGGCCAAATTGTTACAGATGGGGCTGAAGGCTTTTGAGAGAGATGGGAAAGAAATTTGCTCTAAATGTGGATTTTCAGCCGGGCCAGTTCCGGTGAGGTGAATTTAGCTGCATACCTGCTAACCTTCCGATTTCTCTCCTTCCCTTTAGACGTCGGGCTCAGGAACGACCACTGCTCAGGTGGTCCATTCCCAGCAGAGAGCCACCGGCACGTCAGCTGCCTCTACGGAACTGGTCACCCTCACGTCTACGCCCGGAGTCCGAGCAGTCACTTCAGTGACTGCCTCCGCTGTGGTGACCACTAACCTGACTCCAGTCCAGACCCAGCCAAGGTCTTTGGTCACTCAGGTGACCCCAGGTAAGACCTGTAGGGCTGCATCCTTGAGAGTAGCATTTTTCAACCTCAGCTGCTTTTTCAGAGGGTGATCTGAGCTCGGTTTCCCCAAAAACCACAAGGCAGATTCCTGGTCCTGAGAAAACCCCTTTTATTAAACGAATGTGAATTCCTCTCATTCCCATTCAGCCAAGGCCTGGCAAATACTCTTTCAAAGGAATATTTATGAGTACAGACCTTATCTATCTTGGAAAGCTGCCATGTAAATAATTTCCAAATGAGGTGCTGTGCAAGGAAAGGCTGGACACAGAGTCTCGGAGATTCCTTCCTCACTCAGGATGGAAGGCTGAGTCAACCTTGAGCCTGCTGAGATTCGAACTGCCAAATTGCAGGCATATGGCAGTCAGCAGAAGTAGCTGGAAGTACTAACCGCTGCGCCACCGTGGCTCATGATTCTTTTTTCTTTTTTTCTTTTCTTTTTGTTCCCCTGCAGCTGCTGCAGCCAGCGTCCAGCTCTCTGGGAAGACCATCCCTCAAAATCACTTCCAGCTCCTACGCCAGCAGCAGCAACAGCAAGCAACAGGACAGGTGCAAGTTCCCCAGATCCAAACCCCAGGCCAGACCCCATCACAACCCCAGATTAAGACTGTCGGCAAGATCTCCCAGGTGAGGAAGAAGAGGGTCTCTGCGTCTGTGGTTGGGAAGCTGGGCCATCCCCCCGCGTTGGCTTTGAAAGAAAGCCACTTTTCCCAGCTCAGGGAAACCATGCAAGAAGTTGAAATTTACTGTTTTGACCTAGGCTTCCCCAGCAGCACAAAGCCGAGTCCTCGTCCCGATAAGCCCCTTTTATTTAGTTGACAGTGAATTCCT